GTCGCAAGGTTCCTGCGATTTTATTTACTTTCGGGGCATAGAACCGTAAATGGTGTGTCTGACTACCAACGTTCAACTTCCAAACACTTCCCTTGTGAGACGCTAGTCCGTTAGTTTCAGTATGTGTGCGCTAACAAGGTGACATTTTTTTTATTTCACCAAGCCATAGTTAAAGTGGAAATCGGCATCGATCACAACTTATCTTTAAGCATTTGAAAATCGTGAAAGAATTGACCTCGAGCTTATAAAGAGAACAGCAAGACTCCACTCACCTACCTTACTACCACTAAATTCACAAGACAAACCGAATGCATAAAACAAAGTATGCAAATTTGATTTCTTACCGCTTTGAATTCGTCGTAGGTGATGTATCCATCACCATCAACGTCCGCCTCAGCCATTGTTCGTTCACCAATTCTATTAATCTACAGGTTAAAATGCCCGTTAATGGGGGGAATTCTGAGATGATACTAATGAAGATTTAATCAATACATTTGTCTTGCAGTTAGGCAAGTTTGATTGAAGCATTCGGAATAACTCAGAAACCAGTATTCACCTTAGTTAATTTTAAACTACTGATGACATTTGTGAATAAAATTGGCATCAAAAATATAGCGTGAAGACAACGGTTCCGAATATGCAAATCAAAATGAAGTCATCCATGGAAATGTGCCACCACTGCAAAACATATAGAAACATAGTGCGTGGTCTTTACTACAAGTGAATGGATGAGTTTCACAAGTCGTAATGTGAATGCTCAAAGGAACTACATAAATAATACGAACAAAGACCTGGCACCAAGTAGGGATGGTACTCCTCTCATATGAGTGAAAACACATCAAACACAAATCGAAACAGCTTAGAAGAATGTGTGAGAGGAATTACCTGCTCCATTGTGACACTAGCTCCGACCATCATCTGCAGAACACTTAGCAGCTCACTTCGGGAGATTCGGTTATCGACATCAAGATCGTACATGCCAAAGAGGAACCGCAGCTTGGCCTCACGATTATTGTACTCAGTCACGCCACTAGAATTCGGCTTTCGAAAACGTGCCACCTTTTGCATAAATTCTCGGAAGTTCAGCTCCTCTCTACAGCGCAATAGTACGACGACATTTTGTTAAGGCTAGTAACTGAGCCACAGTTTAAGCAAAGTATGGTACAGGAGTTGCGAATCTAGTTGAGTTTGACCACAAAAACTGCTACAGTTTTAGTCCAGTTAAAAAGAAAGCATCCTGACTACGTTAAATTTTCTCCATTAGTGTCATGTTTACGCCAACGCTAACAAAAATATAAAAAGGGGTGAACATACCCGCCCTTGAAGAATTCGTTTATAATACGGTCACCCAGAGGATTTATAGCCAGCTCAGGTATGAGCAGAAAATCTTGACGTCTAAAAATTACGCATGATAGCAAAATCTACTTCAAATATCCTGCTTTGGATCGGTCGAGTGTAGTATAACGGTTGTATAGTCGGTGTATTTGCTTGGCAGAAACTATATGATAACCGAAGCCTATGCTCACTTACACCCAGTTTCAGATGATATCTCGGACACTTCCTCTGGATCCAAGATCTTTGACGAGCCACCCCCCATTGTGGACTCAGAGAGAACACCAGAGTTAGAGTAGTACCGTAACTACGAACTCAGCGCTTCTAAGCAAAACCATTTAAAGCGCTGACGACATTTTTGGTAAGCATCGATCCTTAAATAATTGTTATTGGTAGAAACCCTAAGGAGTGCTTTGGAATCCGTATAACTTTCTTGTGTTTGGCATATCAAATTGGATGGTCGTAAAGTTTAATTCCATCAGTTCTGCAGTCAAGATGTGATGCGTGGGTTCCAAGCCTTTTTCAATATTGTATTT